CGGAATCCTAGTTGCGGAATCCTAGTTGCGGAATCCTAGTTGCGGAATCCTAGTTGCGGAATCCTAGTTGCGGAATCCTAGTTGCGGAATCCTAGTTGCGGAATCCCAGTTGCGGAATCCGACCAAACAGTTGCGGAATCCTGCGCAGTTGCGGAACTCGACTTTATCCCCCCACGAGTCGTGGACGCTCCCTTCTCGGCCCGGCCTCCGACATCGACCGCTCCGAACCAACCCGCTCCGAACCGAGCCACCGGAGAGCGGCTCGGCGCGCCTGCGACCCGGTGCCTGTGGAGATGTTCATTCCAGAGGAGCGCCCCTGTGATCTCCTGAAGCGAACCGAGGAGTGAGGAGAAAAAGAGGAGGAAGAGGGGGAGGCACTTGAGAGGGACCGAATTGAGAGGGAACGAATTGGTCCCCTCTCAGATCTTCTTGTATGAGGCTTCGAACTTTCATGACAAAAGTCATGCCAAGTAGATAAAGCTGGGAGGACCATGTGCAAGCTTCCACTACCCTAGGATCACTGAGATTTCACTACCCTGGGTCCCTGGGTCATCAGTGCGAGAAGATGCTTCTTTGCCGTTTTCCCTCACAGGATGATCATGACCTCTGAAAACAACTCGACTGCATACTGTATACTACATCACCTCTCATCCTGCCCTCGGTCGATTGGTCTTCAAAAAGACAGAACATCTATTTTGGATAAGCCTCTTTGGGGTGGGGAACTCGCTCGAAGTGTGTTGAAGTAAATTCTTCCGAATTGCTGGGGTATCGTGTCCATTTGACATAGAGGGAACGGTGCTATGTGATAGTCAACATGTTGGCCGACACCTTGCAACCCAAAAAGAACATATAGAGGCCCAAGTCAGTATTTGAATGCAATTCGGGTGGCTGAACGCTGTATGAAACTACGATTAAAAGGTCAGACTTTGAAAGCCACATGGTTTTGGAGCATGTAATACCAGTTGGATATCTGGTTGAACATCCATGGCCAACCTACACCTGGGAAATCACATGAGAAAACAAACCCTGATGGAAATGAAGAGATCCCGCAAGAAAGGCCACAGGATCCAATTGACTCAGCTAGGCAGCTAGGCCCTCTTGACATTCAAAGGATACTTACCAATTTGAATGCACAGACAAAGTAGGAGCCCACCTTGAGATGCGTAAAGGCGTAGAGACCACGAAGGACCCTGCTTCATCATTTCCGAACCTGCTGTTCTTCTTCCCACACCCGAAGCGTCCGACACCCACAGCTTGCTTTTACTGGTCCGCAACAAACCCACCACACGATCTTGAGATGTTCAAGGCCAACGACCCCCCAAAGAGAAACCCGATCACCTCAGCTGTCCCACAAAAAAGAAGGATCCCTCCTGGACAACAAGCTCGAGGCGGATCGCGCGCTCGCAGCACTGACGCTCTCGGCATCAGAGGCTTCATCATCATGCCTGACATGTTTTTCTCCGGTCGTGGTCATCGTGGTCTCGTTCGATCGGACACGTTGAATGAGGATAACCTGGATTAGTGATCATGTCAAGGATCGGACCCTGTTGATGTGGACACTTAGGGTGCAGTGCAGTTTTGAGACACAAGAGGGACGGACAAAAAGGATGGCAGGATGCGGCAGGACTGTCCTCCTTAAAACATCATAACGTCAAAACAAAAGGTGGTATCGAGTGTTGCTGTTGAGGAAATCCCATGGAATATGGATTGTATCCACTGAGCTACAAAGCTAGTGTCGCTTTGAAAACAAACATAACGACATAATGACCAACAACTTGTGAAGCGTAAACAAAACTCACCGGAGTCATTGGAAGCAAGAGAAAAGCTCGATAAATCCGTTTCAGTTCGCCCCGGCGACGCTGCCGCTCAAAGGTCCATCCCGTGTCTGTCGAAAGGCCTCGGGGAGAGATGCGAGGCTCCAGAGACATCCATCGTTTTGGCACAGAACAGCTGCAGAAAAGGACCGGCGCCAGGGATCCACCGAACTTGCGCCAGTGAGCTCTTGACTGGCCTTCCATCACCTCGTTAGTGGTTGCCAGTTTGATGATTTGTGGCAGTTGATGCAAGGCTTCTTAGTGGTTCTCCATGGTTTGCCAGTTTCTTTCTGCACAAGTGGCGGTGATTGATTCATGGTACTACTACCACTACTACCACTACTACTACTACTGCTACTACTACTACTACTGCTACTACCACTACTACTACTGCTACATACTGCTACTACTAGCCTTTTTGGAGGGTGGACGGTGCAAAACCTGAGAACAGGGGGGATCCATCGCTTCATCAGTCAAACTGTCATGCTTCAAGGCGCCTTTGCTTCATATCTGACATCGTATTTGCTTAATATCTCTTCACATCAACCTCTTCATAAGGTGGGGTCCTTTGACTTGGAACTGGTCCTGAATTCAGCCCCATTCTTCTTTACAAGAACTGGTCCTGAACCACCTAAAGGGTGGCCACAACTAGCACCTTGGAGGTTGAAGGGTCATTGACCCGGCTCTGTGTACAATGAACAGCAGAAAACATCAGTCCCGCTCAAAGGTTCATGAGAAAATCATAAGATGATCAGATGATTATATCATAGGATAATGAAAGGAAGGTCGGAGAACAGATCTAACTCCAACTCGGGAAACTGGCGCTTACTTGACCGTGAGATCCTCACCTGGACTGTGGTATCGAAGTCGCTTCTCCCCCTGTGACATACACCCTAGGCCTGGTGGACTCTACGGTAAGTTCCAACGAAATGATGACACTTGCAACCCTACGACTACCGAGCCCAACCAACGAAATGGTTGGGTTCAGGGCCGCAAAAAGGTCAGCTCCGTCCCTGAAGCCGTGACTTCCACCTGTGGTTGTGATTCGAAGTCCATGAACCGAAAATCGGGCCATGCCATTCACTTCCATCATTGCTTCAGGAGATCGCCTGCCCCAATGGCTATAGGTGGGTCATGGTGGGTCTATGTTCACCCCCACTGTGATGGCCTCCCGCACCACCGCAGCTCGCGCAGGGCTCAAGGGGCCCCGTAAGACACGCCTTGTTCCGCGGCGTGTGGAACCCACACGCGGCGCGGGTTACGGCGCGTGTGGTTTGCCCAGTGCGGCGCAGCGTCGGGTTGTGGTGGGTGGGACCTTTGAGGCGTTGAACTGCTCTATCCAGGGAATGAGGGTGGCTGGATCCAAAGGAATCTCTATTGGGGTGAAACTTCCCTCATTCCCTACTTTCGTCGCACCAGTCAGAAGATTCATCCTATAATTGTACCCACAGACTCTACTGGCAAATGTTCGATGCCGCTCATTGCATTTTGACTCAACTCCGGGGTTGGGACCTTAAGTCGAACGAAGAAGACAGCGTGTTTGCAGCATGTTGCAGCGTGTTTGCCCGTGTCAGTGTGTGGTGTGTTTTTGTGAAGCTTGCTAAAAACAAGTCGCGGCGTGTTTCTGGCCAAGCGGCGTATTTCTTCAATTGCCGCAAAAAAGAAAAGAATCTCTGTTTTTGTCATGACGGCGAACATCAACGCTGCCAGATTCTCTAGGTACGAGCAGGTCGGGACGATCCCAAAGCATCAGGTCTCTGGACCCCCAAAAATCCCGCAGTTCGGCCGTTGTGTCGGGCCGTCCGACCGGGTGCCAAAACGATCGGACTTGACTGGCGACCTGTCAGTGTTAAAGTCCAGTATACACCCGGGAAAATGAACATGGAACCTGAAAATGGACCAGACTGGAAGACGATCTTCCTCTACAAACCAGTGGTTTTCAGGCTCCATGTTAATCTTCCAAACTGTTACCGTAGTCTCTGTCAAACACGAATGGACGCCCCAGTGAGGGAAATTGTGTGCAAACCCCGAGGAACCCCTTCCTGTCATGGCATCTCAAATCAGTCAGCGTCTGCGGATGTCTGCGGGTATGACCCATTGAAGATGAGGCATCCCATTCCAGTCTTTTCCACTTTGTTGCTGGCGCCTCCGTCTTTTCGCGCAACAAAAAACATGTTCATTGTCACATGTGATCAACAAGTCCAAGAGCTTTATTCCTCAGAATCAGGACCCTGACATGAACAGCTCTTTTGCGGCAAACCCCTGATGTGGTGGGGAAGGGTCTCCCCCAGTCGACCCCCGATCGAAGGTGAATCCAACGAGGAAAAGGGTCTCTCTTTGGCATTGGTGCACCAAACGAGAAAACCACCAGTTCTGTGGTCGTTCTGCTGAGACGCGACATCTCCCGGTTGATCTCCAGCTGCAGCTCAGCGGTTTGACAGGACACCCGGCAACCATTCATCCAGGTCCAGCGTGCCCGAACCGTGCACATCCATACCTGGCGGTGGTGCGTCGATCGCATCTCGCCGCATCTCGGCTGGCAGTAGCACGTCGATAGCCCTTGGAGTTGGGTAGTTTGTGCACATCAAACACCTCAACTGCGTACCGCAAATACGTACCGCTTCATGCAGTTCACAGCTCATGAATCGAGAAGTGATTGTTCACAAACCTGCGACGTTTTGTTCTGAAGTGCTTGGCAACTTCTCTTAAGCTTCTCAGCTTCATGGTGTTCATAGGCAGACTACCGGGCCTCGGAGAAGTTCAGTCACTTCGGCCTCCGTCACTCCAATGCCGACCTGGACAAAACCCGGAAGGACACGAGCGGTCCGACATGAGTGTCTCAGATTTCGATTTGGAAGATCCTCATAATTCTGCCAGATTTTTCCGCTCAGAAAAAACGACAAACATGAGTTTCTTTGAGGCCATCAGCCATCGTAACAGTTTCCATGTGTGACTTGATGGCTGCCTACCGGTCGAGATTAGCATCTCTGAGAGAAAACAAGCAATGTGATTCTGTGGCCAGTTGCAAGACTGATCTATATATCCTACCCCTCATCCAAGTGCCAAGTGTAACCACTGACATCATATATAAAGACTCACAGCGGTTGACTGTTTTCACCTTGCAGTGCAGACCTAGTTGGTCAATGTGTAAAAGGAATTCATGCATAAACTGGTATTTTCAGGGCCTCCCTGGCCCGAGTCCCCCCCACTGTACCTCGCCACCCCGGGGATACAGTGAGCCAGGAACTCGGGGGTGTCCTGGGCCCCGCCACACCGGGGAACGTCCAGGCCCCCACCCCCCTTTCCTTTGTTCCATCAAGCATTTTTATACCGCCGGCGGTGTTCGAATTCAAAACAAAAGTTCACTTCCTGGGTTTCTTGTGCTTCCTTCTCCTGGGCACGAAGCGGGTGGGAAGGGAGGGGCTGAGAGCCCAAACCCTTCGGGAAAATCAGGTCAACCTAATTCGTCTTAACTAACGTGGTCGTGAGATCAAAGACTCACAGCGGTTGACTGTTTTCACCTTGCAGTGCAGACCTAGTTGGTCAATGTGTAAAAGGAATTCATGCATAAACTGGTATTTTCAGGGCCTCCCTGGCCCGAGTCCCCCCACTGTACCTCGCCACCCCGAGGATACAGTGAGCCAGGAACTCGGGGGTGTCCTGGGCCCCGCCACACCGGGGAACGTCCAGGCCCCCACCCCCCTTTCCTTTGTTCCATCAAGCATTTTTATACCGCCGGCGGTGTTCGAATTCAAAACAAAAGTTCACTTCCTGGGTTTCTTGTGCTTCCTTCCAGTTCCCCCAGTCCTGCCCATTCGGGCATGCTCAAGGGGTTGGAGCTCCAAAGATTTAGACCTTTCATACTGTCTTCGAAAGGCTTTAGCCCTTGCATTGGTTGCCAATTGAAATTCCGCAAGGACTGCGAGTCCTTCATTAATATATATTCTTGCGGTCTTTGCCGCCTGCCATCTACCTGCTATGAGCAGTTTGTCTAGCGACCCGTGTTTTGCAAAATAGGAGGTGGCGCCTCCCCTTCGCAGGCTGTAGGGCCTAAAAGAATGCTCACTGAGCCCTGTTGCCTCCAAGTACTCAGAAAATTTCTTTCGCCAGACATGAGCAGCCTCGCAGAGTGAAGGTCTTGAACTTGGGGTGTTTTTCCATTGCCATAACCGTCTTAAAGTGTCTTCTTCACGGATCGTGACGCTTTCGGCGGCACCTTGGCGCCGCCCACCCTTGGTCAATCCTAGAGAAACTATTGCAACACTTCGGGGCCCTTTCTGTTCTATATGTGCCTTTTTGATTCCCAACAGCTCGCCAGTTCGAAGAAGTCCATGAAAACCTAGCAGAAGAGAAAGGGCAAAGAGGTCATCCTTCTTGAACAAGCTGTAACCAACGAGAATGTCCAAAGCCTCTGTGGGGAGTGGCGGTGCACGACTAGGAATCTCAGTGGAAGACCACGTCTTCATCAGCCTCCAGGAGGATGGAAGCCTCCCCTTAGCCGATGGCCGGTAGTCTTGGACTGCTGCAATGGAATCACAGGCCAGCGCTCTTCCTTCTCCACTTTCCCAAAGGAATTCAATGTAATGGCTTAGCCAAAAATCAAGCGTTGAGGGGTCATCTGGGAACCTTCTACTCTCCTCTCGAAGGAAAATGCGAAATCTTTCAAGAGCCTTGTCATATCGTGCACGGGTAGCGGGCTGAACTGCTAGGTGGCGCAACGGCCCCAATGCTCGCCTTTGCTGTTGTCGGGATGCTTTGTCTTTGCCTTCTATGTATGCTTTGCTATGACTCACCATTTCTTCTTCACGGGGCGCCTCGAGGGCGCATCAGCGGGGTTTTCTTTCGTGTGAACATAAGCCCACACGCCATGTGAGCCACTGGCAAGGAGCAAAGCATTTATCCGACTCATCGTTCGACGAAGCTTTCTGCTGCTGCTGCGTCCCCTAGACAAGGAGTGGAGACACACCAAACTGTCCACTAAGTGCACGAATTTTGTTCGCAACGCCTTCTTCTTCACAATGCGCCAGCGGAGAGAGGTAAGCACTGCCCTCATCTCAAGCACATTAATGTGCTCTGGAGACCCCTTCCATGGCCAACCCATCACCGTCTTCCACTTCCACAGTGCTGATGGCAAGCTG